ATCACTAAAACTTATAAAAATGTATATGATTCAATTTGTTCCCACTGTGCAATGCCCGCAGATTTCTCGGTATTTTCCGTTGATAGTGCGTTGTTTTGTAACACTGAACGACGGAACAGTGGTCAGGGTACACCGATACAGTCTGCAGTTTGAACTGAATATGATTTTAAGTTTTGTTTTGAATTACAAATTGAGTGTAGACGCCAATTGAATTACCAGGAATATTATATTCAATACTCGTATTATGAATTATAATATTGTATTTAATCATATATGCACATTGTATTGATATATTTGAGCGAGTTCAAGCCAATCCTGGTTATTCTAGGGCATATTTCAAATGACACGCCCATGATATCTGATGCTTCAAACATAACATGATGATTGTTATGCTACATTATTGTCACTTTAAAAATGGCGCAACTGTTCATAAAGGTAACAGAAAAGAGGGAATAACTCTACTTACCTTGCACAGGAGAGGGAAGTGTGCTTGTGCGAGACAAGCATTAATGATTGTGGCATTGTCATAACAGTGTCATGTGATATCGATGATATCTTGATACCCGTAACAACCTAACTGCACAGTAACGACTTAAAAGGGAGACAACTCTTCGTCTCTTGTGTTTCATGAGATGGAAGGCCATGTCTGCAAAGAAACGATTTATTTAATGTATATGCTCCCTTTAATACGTGGGGAGATGTTCGTTTGTTAATGTGTACAATATAAATACCAAGTCAAACACTCTGTTATGCAAATGCAATGACACGAGTATTCCACCCTGATCAGAAATCTGCCATCGCGTTATTGACGATGCATAGAAAAAATAGTTTAAAATAATTGCATGACATATATTCTTATGATTGCTTATGAATTTGCATCTTATCATGGGTTATCCTTAATAGTACTTGTAGGATTACTGTGAGTATTTTTATCCCATCCTGAAATACAAGTAAAATCCCAAAAAGTCAATTAGGAACATATGATAACAATATATATCTACATTATGTAACGTCCTTGGAAAATAATATATATATATATATATATATATATATATATATATATATATATATATATATATATGGTTTAATTTGCCATACTTACTTCTGAAAATGTGTGACTTCATAAAAAAAACATGAACATGCAGAAATGTCAATTTGCAAATCAATAGTATGTGTGTCAACTTCTGGTTGCGATGCAAGCCACACATCTTATGTATATATATGCATGAGAAGAAACAAATATGAAGGAAACATCATGTGCCAAGAATTTACTTTTCAGTTTTTTTCAGATCGCAAAAAGTTCTTTGAATATGCAGTCCCAGTCAGTACATACTTTGTGGAACAATATACCTTCTTGTTTTCTTCAATGCTAGTCCGGGACTTGACTGGATAAGACGATGATGACTGCAACAGATTTCACTATCAGCACACCGATAGAATGCCTGCTATCACCACCGGATCTAAAACAAAAAAATCATACAGATAATGTTTTTTAAATAGCATCATTTTAGACTTAACCACGCATATAAATATGCATTTATTTTCCTGTTGAAACAAAACAAAACATAATATTTACTTTGTTGAGAAGAATATAATAGGCAAACACATTTGTGTTAAGAATATTCAATGGTGAATAGTCAATATGTGGTTTTGTTTACCTAGTTATTATTATAATAATTCTAATCTATATTATTTCTTTGACGTTTGAAAATGAGATTTCATTGATGCATACGCCTGTAAAGTGCTCATGAAAAATATTGACTTTGCGAGGAAGTCACAACATCAAATATATTGGCAGGCCTTTTAATCGTGATTCTGTCCTGCCCTCTACAGAGGGCACTGCCTTAAGCCAGTGTTCATTGTCTTTGCAATACTCAACAGTGAAGATCTGAGCCGAACCTCCATTAAATTCCTGTTTCCAGGAAATGTGCAGCGAGGTCAAATCCAAAACATATACTGTGACATCAGTAGGAGAGGACCTATCGTTTGAAATAAGGACAAATTATTCATTGAAGTTTAAATCTGACTTTTAATATGTTCAACGTTTAATATGTTTATCTGGAAAGCTGTACTACAAATTTATTTATTATGTATGGCAACTTGTCTTTTAATATGTTTCACCTTGTGATACGAGTGTAAAAGTTTCCACTTTCTGGCATAAGGCGTTGTTTGCGTGAAGCTGGTACATCCCAAAGTCTTCTGGCTGTAAATTTCTCAATTGTAGAGTGGATGTCACTGTCACAGCCGAGGTACTGATCTCTCTGGATGTAAGGCTACTCTGGTGATGTCTCTCTGGTCTGTTCCAGGCGATACTTGGGCGAGGATAGGACAGGATGGTCATTGAAAGTATGACATTGCCACCATGTGATGATACGTATTTGCGTTTTGGAGACGACATGTCATCAGGTCTGGGCAAACCTTGTTATGTAAACAAGATAATTGTGTGGATAACAATAAAACCGAACGAATTAATTCGACGAAAGTATAACTTAAGCTGATTTTTCTGAATGTATAGTATTTGAATGTATTTTTGTATATATTACACTCGTCATATGGTATTTTTTAGAATTTTACGGGAACGTTTTCGTTGAAGATATTCATATATTCTTATCTTTTTCCTCTATATTTATTGCGAGTATCTAGTGACAAACATTACTGTTTAAAACAATCAGTGGTAATTATTACATTATTTCTTTTTCTGAAATCTTACAAAAAGTTCCAAATATCTTCTTGCAGGTTCTTCAATACTGTTTTCAGCTGTACAAGAGTATTTCCTGCTGTGTCTACAGTCCGCTGTCCACTTATATTCCACCGTCTCTGAGTTGAATGTGGCCGTCAGCTGTTTTCTTCCCTTCAACAGAGTGGATTGCTGTCAACTGTACACCTCAGTGTGATACTGTCATGTTCAGTGACAGTCACTCTGTTTGTTGCATGGTTTATGGACAGAGTAAGGATTTGAGGCTTATCTGAAGCAAATAGTGAAAAAGGAATATTCTGACAACAAACGCAAACAATATTTTCACAGAGACTTGTCCACTGCATACAGTTGCTCAAACCTCTCCATCAGGGACCATATAGAGCAACACTCAAACATCCAGATCCAGTGGACCAGCATCACCGTTTTGGCCTTCTAGCTTAATAACCTCCTCATCATGAAATGGCATCAACATTCAAACAACGCATCAACAGACATCATGGTTACTTCATCCCTGTCATCATCCTGTAACTACAACAGCATTTGGAATCCACATATTCATCAGGCATCCCTACAGATTACAATTAAGATTCTGTTGGGAAGTGACACTGTTGATGTCGAAGACGTCATCTATTGCTACATGTGCCATTCGTTATCCTGTTTGCTGATTCGGTTACACCCTGTAAGATGTGTGTTGCTAGACCGCTGCTCAAGTGCTTATCACTTAGGTGTGTACCCAAATGTCAACAAGAGGCATTTACTTCTTGTTTGTTACCCTTGCTTCTGAATTCCGCTTCCAGATATGTACAGCCTAAACTTAGGATTTCTTCTATCTGAGGGGGAACCCACATTGTGATGGGATGATACATATTGCTTGATATGTGTAAAGTTATGTGATAAACATTATTCTCATGTAATAAATTCAAATATTAGACATAAAAATGTCAAAAGGTACCAGTGAATCCACCAGTAAATGTGGTACAAGGCAGATTTTATAATGTCTTAATTTTTCAAAATATCGGCGCCTTAGCTGGCAACTTTAATTTTTATTTCTAATCAGTCTTTGCAAGGAAAACAGCTTCTTATTGTGTGTAAATAAGAAACTCAGCCTCCATCTGCTTGAACAAAAATAACTCAGCCTCAATCTCGACCGTAATATGGCCATCAACATCAGTACAGAGTATTTCATGGGCAAAGCCATAATCTTTGACAGAGAGACATCACCATGACAGACAATATGTCTGTAACCCTTATTCAATAAAAATCATTTCCCATCTTCCATTTCAAGAGGCCACTATCAGTGTTTCGTAGAATCCTACTCATGATTCATCATGGATCAAGAAACCTCAACAACTCAGAATTATGTCATCTATGATCAGACGCACTCTCAGAGGTTATTATCATTTTGAAAATAATCAGTATCAGTATCACAATCACATAATTGAAGAAAAAAGAAATTAAAATATGTAAATAATGACATATACTTATTATAATATAGTCATATATTTTATGTGTGTGTGTGTGTGAAAGATTTGGTAGCGTTACTTTGGTCAAGGATATGTATGTATGGTATGTCAATATTCTATATATTATTGCTGTATATATGTTGTATATATGCTTATAATGAACAACGGTTATAACGAACTAAAATTAGTGGTAACTTTGAGTTCGTTATACCCTTAGTTTACTAAATGTATGTATGCTTGTATGTATGTATGTCTGTGTATGTGCGCGCATGCGTGTGTGTGTGTGTCTGTATGTATTATGTACTTATGTATGTGTGTATGCGTGCGTACGTGCGTGAGTACGTGTGTGCGTGTGATTGTGTGTGTGTGTCCGTCCCCACGCACGTGCAGGATGGCGGGCCCCTTCAAGGACACCCCCCTGGACAACCTCCAAGTATCCCTAATAGGCCTGGTGCCCAAGAAGCAGCCAGGCTATGGTCAGCATCTGGGTAAGCATGCGGAGGAATTCCGTTTAATTCACCATCTACCCTATCCCAGGGGTAAATCTATAAATGACTTCATAGACACAGAGGCCTGTTCCGTTGTGTATGCCAGATTTGATGAAGCTACTCATATGATTCAACAACTGGGAAAGGGAGCACTACTAGCAAAATTCGACATCCAGTCGGCCTTTAGAATTATACCAGTCCACCCATCCGATTTCGAGCATCAGATTCGAAGGTGAGTTCTATTTCGATAAATGCTTACCATTTGGCTGTTCCATATCTTGCGCTATATTTGAAACGTTTAGTACCTTCTTGGAATGGTGCATGCAATCACATCTTCCAACGTGTCCGATCATGCATTACCTGGATGACTTCCTAACCGGGGGCACAGCAGGCACCAGCCACTGCTCAGACAACCTCAACGGATGCGTGAATAGACTAGAACAGCTTGGGGTCCCTATTGCACACGACAAGACGGTGGGCCCCACGACTAAACTGACATTCTTAGGGCTGGAAATCGACACTAACGCAATGCAGATCAGAATCCCAGAGTCCAAGATCAAGGAGGCGAAAAGGGAAATCCAAGACATCCTGTCAACAGGTAACATCAAGGTCACAAAAAGGACCCTTCAGTCCCTCATAGGCAAGCTTAACTTTATGTGCAGGGCTATACCAATGGAAAGGGCATTCAGCCGAAGGCTAATCGATCTGCTTAGTAAAGGTAAGCAACCATTTCACCACATTAGGATTACCAGCTGGGTCAAGGAAGACCTACAAATGTGGTTAACATTTCTTATGAGTTATAACGGCATTTCAGTGTTTCAGGACCAACTATGGGTAGACAGCGATTTCCTCCAGCTGTTTTCAGACACAGCAGGTGGTGCCGGCTTTTGGCCCTACATGCAGGGCAAATGGTTTAACGGCGCATGGCCAACCCAGTGGGTGACGGATGGAACTACACGGGACTTGACGCTCCTGGAGCTGTTCCCCATCACACTGGCCATCCAACTTTCGGGCAAGCAACTTTCAAACAAAAAGGTCCTCTTTTACTGTGACAGCCAAGCCGTCATAGCAATAATCAACAAACAGCCTACCAAGGCCCCCAGAGTGATGAGCCTACTCCGTCGCCTAATCCTGCAGTACCTCCGATATAATATTATGTTTAAGGCAAAGTATGTATGTTTCACTGCTAACACTATTGCCAATGCTCTCTCGAGGTTTCAGCTCAAACGCTTCCGACAGGCAGCACCAGCCGCGGACCAGAACCCCATACCTATCCCGTGCAACATATGGCTGATCGGAGGCAGGAAGCCGGCAGACTCCTACAACAATCTCTGTCTACAAATACATGGGCCACTTACCAAACAGGCATCAATGCCTTGCACCAGTTCCGGTCCACACACCAGCTACAAGAGGTGTGGCCAGTCCCGCTGGATCAGGTTGTAAACTTTATTGCTTATCTGTCAGTCACTCACCACACCCCTAACACAGTCAAGACTTACATTGCAGCACTGTCTTCACAGCACAAATTCCATGGGCTCACCGACTGTACAAACCATTTCCTGGGGGACAAGATTTTAACAGGCTTACACAAATCAGCAGGCCGACCAGACACCAGAAAACCGATCACTGCAGATCTGCTGCAGGTAGTAACCAACAATCTGCCACACTATGCTCATCAGCATATGAAGCCAGACTGTTCAAGGCAGTCTACTACACAGCCTTCTTCGGTTTCTTTAGGGTTAGCAAGCTTGTCCAAACTGGACCCTCAAAAACAGGTTGCGCCATCCAGAATTTAAGCTTCTCGGGCAACCCCCAGCAGCTTTCAATCCAGCTACCACACTCAAAGTCTGATCAGTACAGGATGGGGACAACAGTTACAATGTCATCTATACCAGGTAATCCGCTATGTCCGGTAGTCACCATCAAGCACTACCTGGAGGCGCGCCCCTCCGGCCCACATCATGCATTCGTTCATTTCGACCATTCCCCTGTTACAAGGTACCAATTCCATGCATTCCTAAAAAAGGCCTTAGCACACAGCAACATAAACACGGCTTGCTATTCTTCGCACTCCTTCCGCATTGGGGCAGCCACATCAGCAGCCATGAACGGGGTGCTGGAACACCTCATACAACAATACGGCAGGTGGAAATCAGATTGCTACAATGCTTACATACGCTTACCAACAAATTTAATGTTGCACAATTAATTCAATTAGTCTTTTCATGGTACTTACTACACTTCTTATTGTTTACAGTTTGGATGCTGGGATCCAGCTACATGGCCAGGGCACGGCAGTACTTGCTCCTGAAGGGCACCAGTCTGAACCAACCGAGGATGCTCTGGCTAGCACGAGGGGGGATGAGGTGGAAAGAGCTGGACACCATTCTAGATGCACAGGTCAAGGCGACACGGCGCAGCCCCAGAGCCCTCATCATTCACCTGGGCTCCAACGACCTGTGCTCGGTCAAGGGCAACCAACTCTACCTTGACATGGTGGCATCAATCCTTCGGATACAACTCCAGCTTCCTGACACCAAGATCATCGTATCCTCAATGCTGCTTTGTGGCGGGGTTCTTGTGGGCTACACTGCTAGTAACAAATTAACTTGCTTCCAACTTAATACTCGTGCTTAAGGCTACCTGCTTTTCAGCGGGAACCTTTCTGGGGTTACCTGCTTCTCAGTGGGAACCTGGTCTTTCCCGACTTTGCAGCCGGGGAATCGTAAAATAACATACGTTGGGGCAAACAATTGCCACGTATATGGGCCCGGCTGCGGAAGTTGTCTTGTCAAGCGGTAGCTGACAGTTGGGTCCGCGGCGGTAGTCGCACAATGGTTTTGCTAATGGGGCCAGGCATTGGAATCTGCTTTGGCCGGCAACCTTGGGCCGGGCAGCTGTAGTCTGACTGAAGCCAGCAGCGGAAGCTGCTTTTGGCAGCGTGGTAGTTGCCAAGCAATGGTAGCGTTTAAATATGCTACCGTGGGGGCCGGACAGCGATAGCAGTCTCAGGCCAGCAGCGCTAGCTACGAATCTCCGTTGGCCAAGTTAGTGGCCATGGCAACGGTAGCATTTTGGTATACACAATTAGCAGCTTAGTAGCCAAGGTACCTGCACACCCTCGGCCATTTAAACCCCTTTTTTACCTTCTGTTTTTATTATAGGCACGGGCATCCACGGCTCAGTGGCCCATGCCTCTCCTTGGCATATCGCGGGATAATTACATTTAGTACTAACTACTAAATCACTTTATCGCTCGTATCCAAACCATTGGCTAATTACGTCCGTAACCCAATCAACCCTTGTAACTCAATCACCCACGGGTCACCACTCTGATGCGTGCCCGGGCAATTATCCTGCGCAAGCATCATCCAGCCTTTGTTACAGCCCATCATTCGCGCACCGTCCCTCTTCAAGTACACACGTGTTTCACTGTATCTAATCACTTTCCCACCCACCCACCCAGCTTGCCACTCCTTTTCTTTCCTCTTCAGTCAGATGTGTCCTCTTCACCTGGAATGCTAATCACTTCTTTTCTTCAGCGTTCTTTTTTTTTTCTTTTCTTTTTTTCTATTACAGGTACCAGCAGAGCAGATTGTATATATGTAAATAAACCTGTACATATGTAAAATAGGTTTTCAGGGCGCTTGTATATATGTACATACCTTTTAAACGATTCTGATATATGTAAATAAACATGACTTCTAAATAGCTGTATATATGTATATATGCGAATACCTGTCTCAACAATAAACTATGTTGAGGTGTGCGGGGTTCTTGTGGGCTACACTGCTAGTAACATATTAACTTCCTTCCAAATTAATACTCGTGCTTAATTAAGGCTACCTGCTTTTCAGCGGGAACCTTTCTGGGGTAACCTGATTCTCAGTGGGAACCTGGTCTTTCCCGACTTTTCAGCCGGGGAATCGTAAAATAACATACGTTGGGGCAAACAATTGCCACGTATATGGGCCCGGCGGCAGAAGTTGTCTTGTCAAGCGGTAGCTTACAGTTGGGTCCGCGGCGGTAGTTGCACATTGGTTTTGCTAATGGGGCCAGGCAGTGGGATCTGCTTTGGCTGGCTACCTTGGGCCGGGCAGTGGTAGTCTGACTTAGGCCAGCAGCGGTAGCTGCTTTTGGCAGCGTGGTAGTTGCCAAGCAATGGTAGCTTGCTGCGAATCGCCGTTGGCCAAGTTAGTGGCCAAAGGTAGCATTTTGGTATACACAATTACCAGCTTAGTAGCCCACTAGTACCTGCACACCCTCGGCCATTTAACCCAATACCACGGCTCAGTGGCCCATGCCTCTCCTTGGCATATTGCGGGATAAATGTATGTATGCTTGTATGTATGTATGTCTGTGTATGTGCGCCCATGCGTGTGTGTGTGTCTGTATGTATTATGTACTTGTATGTGTGTGTATGCGTGCGTACGTGCGTGAGTACGTGTGTGCACGTGCGTGTGATTGTGTGTGTGTGTCCGTCCCCACGCACGTACGCACGCACGTATGAATGTATGCACACTCGAATCATAGTGACAATTTAAATGACGGAACTATGAAAAGCTATTTATCACAGACAGCACGGCAAATGATTAGTCCAATAAGGTTAAAAAAACAAAATAGAAAAAAATGTTTATTCACATCTTCACTATGTCATATGTTAAGACAAGTCAACATATTGTAAAGCAGAAATGTTGTCAGCAGGTGTTTCTTGACTACAGCCATCCCTCATTAACCGTTCTGTGACATGTGAGTACTGAAAGTGTATTCATTGTGGCTTCTGTGGAAAGTGCAGAATTGTGTGTTAGTTCTGAACCAGCCACACCATAACATTTAAGATTTAGTCTCAGGTGATATTCAAAGTGGAAAATGACAAAATTCCTAAGAAATAAGCTGCTACCTTTCCAGCCTTTAAGAGAGGAAACGTGCATTTAATGAGATATTTACTGAACCAAACCATAGCATTTAGTGAGATTGATACTGGACCGAACTAAAACATTTAGTAAGAATGTTACTAGTCTCAATTAATGCATTTAGTGGGATTGTTACTGGCCGATATATATATATATATAAGCCTCTCGCTAGTCAGTCATTCGACACTGGTTCGCGGTTGGGAGTAGATGTAACAATGCCACTAAATGTATTAGTTTAATCAAGTTTAATCTTACTTAATGCCTTACTTCGGCCCAGTATATAGTTTACTCCCAACCGCGAAGTAGTGTCGAATTACTCACTAGCGAGAGAGGCTTGTCGACATTTAAATATTGCGTAATAGATACAGCCGGTGATTCAACAAGAGGCTTTTGTACATCGTATACGATGAGAGGTCGTGGGATCTACCTGCAATTGTTCACCGTGCGCTACATTCCACCAGCCACTCTTGACTGTACTTAACACTTCTATCTACCATTGTTGTCGACACACACTTCCTTGTTGATGCAATACAATTGCAGTGATTTTTCTATTTCATCATTTCATAGTTTTTTTTATAAAATTCATGGCGTCGTCTGTAATGTGTGTTAAAGGGAGACTACATCGTGTACATGTCGTCGTCTACAAGGTGTGTTGAAGGGGGACTACGTCGTGCACATGTCGTTGTCTACAATGTGTGTTGAAGGGGGACAACATCGTGTACATGATGTCGTCTTCAAGGTGTGATGAAGGGGGACTACATCATGTACATGTCGTCGTCTACAAGGTGTGTTGAAGGGGCACTACATCGTGCACATGGCGTCGTCTACAAGGTGTGATGAGGGGTGTCATTAAAGTGTGTATTCCAGTTGAGAATTGCTGCACAATTTAAGTGATGCTACGGCTGCTGTAGATCACCTTCTTCTGCATTAAGTAACGATAAGAATTTATGGATGAACAACCTCGTTATTACAAATCATCCATAAATTCTTATCCTTACCTAGAACTGCAACTTCTAATGCCTATCAAAGAAGTTCTTCCACATGGGTTATAGCTCACTGTATTGTGTAATTATAACACGTTGTTTGAGATCATGCATCCTGAATACATGGTAGACATGCTCCGAAGGCTGAGTGAAATTGCTGTATTTACACACATGTGTTGGCAACAGCACAGTAACAAAATAAATAAGCCTCCAATATCCATACAAAAAGGGTCTGTGATGTATAAAACACAATGACCAAACTAACTACTCAACAGACATTCTTAGCAACACTCAATCAGTGAGTGAATATTTTTGTACGCAAGAGACAGCAATGTTCCATCTCTGTCACAGTGGCCTGTACATATTCGCATCTGGGCCAGAACAGCATGTGGCTGATAGCATGAGCAACGAATCACGCCGTCGGGTTACGACAACAGTCAGCCAGATGACCACCTGATCCTCCTTTTGCTCTAAGGGCAATCATGGGATGAAGCGGAACCTGCTCTGCCCCGATTTCCGATGTGTTTGAATAAACTGTGATTACCTTACAACACAATCTACATGAAACGATCCTCCTGGATACACGAACTCATCACTTTTTCTGCCTTCATAGACAGCTGGGTATACCTAGTATCCGGTGACTTCCCTATAGCAGGATAGCAGCATAGCTATGGAACCATGGTCTGTGTAATTGATACACAGTGAGGACAACAAATTGGGCAACATCAATATTTTGGAGATTTATTTTCTTTTTGCAGTGAAGACTGGGCTTCTTCTGTATGGTACAAAAAAAACTTTTTTAAGGATCCTCACTCTATTGTTCAGTTTATTTTGTCCTCTCACTCAAATCAGGTTTCTCTTGAAATACAAGGAAAACTACACCACACATATAATGGGTAGGCTTCTCGGCAGGCTAAAGCCAACGGATTAAAACGATATCTGCTGGGGTCATATGCGGCTAGAGATGAAAATATCAAAGGTCAAGTAGGGACTACTTTCACTGTTTGCAAACAAACATGGCGTCACTCTTGTCATTCGGCGATCGGGTCAGAATTAACCATCGGGAATCTGGAGAAATTACTGGGATAATTGCTTTCATTATCAAAATAACTGTCTAATATACTGAAAATCAGTGTCTAACTTTGTCGTAGCTAAGGCATTTTACAAGTTTGGGCAACTTTGGAGAAATTAATTGCGAAACAATTTTGCGAGGGCACTAGCAGGGGATCTAGCGGGATCAGTAGCCATATCTGTGCTTGTAGACCTCTGTGGCTTGGAACCTTTTCCACCAATTAAACGAGTTGGATTTTGCCGAAATATGTTTGTAATACATAAAGAAGCGTGTCCTCGACACTTTATCATAGTTATTAAAAAGAAGCAGTGTATCAACTCCTATAGAGTGTAAGCCTCAAACCCTGATACACTCTTATTTCAAAGTTTAAGCTTAAATGCAGCACACACCAAGACCTGTTTACAATACCTGTAATACGTAAAGAAGCGTGTCCTCGACACTTTAACATTGTTATTAAAGGCAGATTATCATCATAACGAAGCTGAGGTCGTGTTAATGGGATGCTGGGACAGTTGAGGTTCAAGATGGGCCAATAGTTACACAGCATGCACTTCGTTCAAGTACCTCTTCACTCTGAGTTATCTGTGTAAGCGATAAGATTGCTTTCACTGTGTGTGTCACTATATATTTTAGAAATGCCCCCAGCTTTACATGAATTGGATGTTGAAATATCATCGATCTATGTTTGTCCAAGCGAAATATGTTCAGAAATCTCTCGACTAATACAGATCTGTTTTTTAATTGTCTATTGAAGTTAGAAACACAACCCATGCGAAACTGAACACAAAGGTCGAGTGGAGATCATATTACACTATGAAACAACCGGGTGCATCATGTCACTGTGACATCACTTATCCCTCGCAGCTCACAATTCATCATTCTCGGAGAATGCTTGCTTCGTGGACTTATAAATAGAACGAAAAGTAGGTATCGGATAATCGTGATCACATGACGTGCCGCCCCCTTTCCACAAGATTCATTCCTTCATCGTTCTGCGGAGTGAGGAGAGCTGTTACATATACAACTACATCGGCCCGTGCGTCAGTCTTACAGGTGAGCGTTACTAATACTCGATAAGTAGTTTCTAGTTGTATCTACTGTATTTTGAGGGGCAGCGGGAGATCAATGTTTTTTTGTTTTCAAAAACCTGTGTATGGTTTCCCACATTTGAAGAATGCATGCGTGAAGCCCTTTATCAACGTCCCCAGATACATACTAATATTCATAACAATATCATAGTTTGTATTGTAAAACTTCCTGAAGTGTGTATGCTTTGTCTCTTGTAATTAATACTTTAAATATGCCTGATTTTTAAATTGCATATCCGTATAGAAAACACACTGACATCAAGAGTGTGATTGGTTATCATAGACTGGGTACCTGTCTACCAACATATGGTAGCCTGGCTTGTTTATCCATTCGACACACCCAGTTGAGCTGGTAATCGCGTTGTGTATGAAGCTGTTGTAGTTCGATATCGAGGCCAAAAATAAACGAAATAAATAATAAATTAATAATTGAATGCTAGCCTTTCTCTACTAGCGTACCTACAATGTGTGACTGTTTCTTTAAGAACTAACATGTTATTGTTCAATATCATACATACAATTATTTTCATTTTATTTATTTTTGCCTTAGGTATGAGCAATACAGTGTTTTACCACTACACGGATGAGGATGGGAAAAACGCTACAGAGCAGAGTTTGTGTATCAAGAGAAGTGGCTCTACACCCAAGAGTGGCGATGCCCGCTTCGGCGAAGGTAAGTTAGTAAGCAATGATTTGAAGGAGTTTTTTCTATCAATAAATCATGTTCTTGAAGAAAGGGGACACATTTCACCAGTGTTGAGACTGACAGTTATGTTACAAGTTATCGTAAATTCACAGACACCTCCATAGATATGTGATTACAATCACAGTTTCTCTCTACTTGACTCAAGCAAAATGTGAAATATGCTTACTAAAGGTCAGCTGATTAACTACACGATACCCTTGAAGATCCGGGTTAGAATAAGTCTTCAGCATGCCATGATTGTCGTTAGAGGCGACTAACGGGATCGGGTGGTCAGGCTCGCCGTCTTGGTTGATGCATGTCATCGTATCCCAATTGCGTGAATCGGTGCTCATGATGTTCATCACTAGATTATCAGGTCCAGACTAGTATGATTTGGAGACCGTCGTAATACAGCTGGAATATTGGTGAATGTGGTGTAAGACAACAAATAAACAAAGCTGTATACCAACGCTGTATATATTGCATTGTAGGAGTGTATGGGACGACCATGGACCCAGACCTCTTCTCAAAATACGAGGTGGCCAAGAACAACTACGACACCCGTCCCGGATACTGGGAGATGCTGATGGATATCGGGAGGGTAGATTATGCAATCAAGATCCTCCTCCCGACATCGAGTTTGAGGCTTGTGAAACACGAAACACGTGACATACTCATCCATAAAGGGGACATCGATCTTCGCAAGTACAGATTTACGGTTATTAAAGTAGAGGACGAGGACAGCGAGGACAGCGACTGACTCCCGTAATAACGCTTCCATTCCCTGTCGAAGAATGTCATAAATCTGTTGGCTGAATCTTTAACATTTGATCAGTAGGTTTCAATTTGTAAGAAAGGGATCTCTTTTGTTGTTTTCAAATATAAGGCTGTATAGTTAATAAAGTGACTAAACCAATTCTGTATTAGAATTTGTATTTAGTGTTTAAAATATATTTTGTTTGACATATAGAAAATATTTATCACAAACACGACAAAAAGCAAACAGAACATGTTATCGATGTCTTCGTAATCGTGTAGGATTTTAAAGCCGCTGTCTCATCTGAGTAAATATGATGGAAAGAGTGAAAGGTTTGAAGTGAGTGAGTGAATGCCGTTTTGCGCCGCACTCAAACAATATTCATGTTACCACATGACGGCACATACATAGCCTGGGACAGACAGACTGGTGGTTGACAGCATGACCACGCCATCGGGGCACGATGACCCTAAATAAACAAGGTCACCATTCTTCTTCAGTCGACTGTCACAAGGGACCCTGCTAGAGGCTTCAGGGGTGGATGTACGTCCTACTACTATTATACAACTATAAAAATATTCATTTGCAGTTTTAGCATTATGAACCGTCACGTCTGAATGAGATAATAAAAATAGTGTCTGGTCGATCGTGGGTATATATTGGGGCACTGCATATCCGAGATCCACGTATACACGACGATGCTAACGGAATTCTAAAGTGAATGTTTGCAAGTGTTATGTGTCGACTTCCAAATTGAAACATTATGTTAACCCAGAAATCTGTACGTAAAATAACTTGTACACAATTAACAGAATTGATTGGTTTCACAAATCAACACAAATTACTGCACAGCAATAACAATGGCAGTAGAACACAATAGAGTGGTAGTACAATATTCAATGGCAATACATACTATCATGGCAGTGGTCAGTATCAAATACAAAAATACAGTGGTGATAGCAAAAGTCAGTGATAATAGTATAGTCATGAAGCAGCGATGTGGTCAAGCATTTGAGATGGTCCCGACAGGGAATACGGGGTGATCTTCACACGAAAGCTGGTCTTGGTTTATTTAGGAGATAAACCTACTGTGTTTTGAAATTTGATGTAGTCCCACTGTAGAATAGATACCTCTTTATTATAATTTAGAACCGAGCGCTTTAGTAAAGAGGTATAAAGAGGTATCTATTCTACAGTGGGACTACATCAAATTTCAAAACATAGTAGGTTTATCTCCATTCTACCATTACGGCAACAAGGCTTGAAAACGGCGCTCTCTTGCAATGCGTAATAACACAGGTGCACAGGTCCGCGATCTTAGAACATTCCGAAAAGTGGTCACAGGTAGTTATATATGTAACAAATATTACTTAAGTTCAAGATTAAAAAACACCAAAGTCGTGAGTAGTTCATAATAAGTGTTCAAAACATATAGTTTTTCAAACGAAGTTGACAAATAACACTCCTAACTTAATCCAAAGAGAGATGTTTTAATTTCTATCAAACTGTTGCACACTGTTGAACACTGTGAACTGGCTGTCGTTTCTCGGAAATTTGTGAGAGAGGTCATTTCTTGGAAATCGAACATGCCATCATTTCTATTGTAGGGGTGACGGGTAATAGAAAAAGGTTTTAAAATGCTGTTGTAGTGGGCCATACTTCAAGCCAGGTACATGTACGATGCACACTGGCTCTGGATCACTGGGGATACGTTTCCGTTTAGGTTGAGATGTCAAAGCTGTCTTAGAGTTGTTCCCGGTTGTATAAGATGTTGGTCTCAGTCACAACAGTTCAACCTCAAAAGACACATAATCATGGTGATGACATTGTTACAAGGTGGGACATTTCCATATATATTAACTTGGGTATTCTGTAAGAGAATCTTAAGTATGTAATTGGAATATAATTTATTTCTGTGAATGCATGGTCCCTGTTCATTTCAAGCCATTCATATACGATTTGGACGATTCGCATTTGGACATTTTCTGTAAATTGGAAACTTAGGCAGCTAAGTGATGTATGAATTAAATGTTAGTAGGTGAATTCGTCTTTTACCTTCGGTGGTGCCCCCTGCAAATTCACCTTAACTACTAGCTGTACTAAAACATCTGAAACTCAACTTGAAATGGCAAAATTTGTAAAAAAAATCAAGCCTGCGTCCAAAAAATTGATTTGTATATTTGCTGAAAAAAATAACATTTACATTATGATCAGTTTTTTTGCACAGCTTTATGGTTGCCATCTTGAATATGTTACAAATAGGTCTATTTCATTCAAAGTTCTGAAATCGACTCGAGCATTATACTGTGAACCTCTTATATGCATACAAAGTGATTGATATGAGAGTTGTCAAGAGGTATTCTATATGATTGTCCAAAAGTAGATCAATAATCAGCCTACATCAAATTATGGTGTTTATATATGGTTTCCTATGGTATATAACACATCAAGGACGGTGAATAAAACACAAGATGACAAGCCAAATCCTGAGCATACATCCAAGCGTTGTTCCGATGTAGCTAAGCCGAGAATGCAATATTAGGTATCCTACTCTGACATTATAAAAGTAAATTTGTTCCAAATTGTGCAAAAGATTTTCACATGATAACATCACATGTTAAGTAAGTACTTCAAGAGATGTACTGGAACACGTGTTTGACGATTATAGTGGAATCAGGCACACGTACCTAGAACATATACCGGATTAAAGGTTTCTGCGAGAAAAAAATAGTTTTGTCGGTATAAATGACGTTCGATTTGCCATTGGTTGGTCCATATTCAATACCAATTATTGATACCTCATTGGAGAGGTATTTATATATGGATTCCAGTGGTATATCACACTTGAAGATCAGTGGATCACTAGTGAGATGACAACCCAAAACGTAATCATACCCCCAAGTGATATACGGCAAAACCGGGCGAAAACGCGATATAGGGTACCATACTTTGAAAGGCTGTAACAACAAGTTCGTCCTAACTTTTTTTCTTGTTAACATTCAAAATCATGTTTAGTATGTTTAGGAGCAAAGTTGTATCAGCTCAGAATTATCTAAACATTTGGCATAACGCCACACAGTAGGTGTATACTAACCAAATAAAAAAATCACGAAACTGAAATGTTGGGAAAATATTTACCAATTATTGATATCAACTGACGTCCAAAAGAAACTTTACCAGAGTTTGAAATCACTCTTGCTCAAAAACAACAAAACATACATGCATGAAGTAAAGTGTATTGAGAAGATCAATATATCAACATAATCAACACTGAAAATGACAATCATACCGCGACCGAGAATGACGTCAGAGCCCCCAATAGTTGGGCGTGGTACAAAACTCGAGCTTTCAGAATCATGGACAATAGTCAGAGTACAAAAACAATCGCTCACGTTCAATAACAAGCCATTAGTAGCGTGTGTGACCACCAAATGCCTCAATACACGCAAAAACTCTTCGACGCACAGAAAAAGTCGGTCGTCTGATGAGGTCACATGGGATTTGACTCAGGCCACGGCAGGACGTTGACGTTGTTGGCTGCGAGGAAGTTATAGTGATAATTCTGGCTGTATGGGCTCTAGCGTTGTCATGCTGATAAATGACACCACGTGGATGCTGTTGGAGAAATGGTAGGACAACTGGACGAAGAATGTTATCCATGTACCGCTGAGCTGTCAAGTTTCCGTCAACGATAACCAGCGGTGTCCTCTCCTGCCCACAGATCCCTCCCCACACCATGACACTCCCTTCACCATATGGTCCGACCTCCTGCACGCAACACGCCGCCGTTCGTTCATCCCTTCGGCGGTAAACACGTTTTCTTCCATCAGCCCTAAACATACAGAATCGACTTTCGTCAGTGAAGACAACCCTCTGCCAGTCACGTCGTCGCCAACGTCGTACAGTCCGGGCCCATCTCAATCGCAGACGACGATGTTGCGCTGTCAATAGCTGTCCTCCGTATGGTCTAAAGCCCTGATTCCATGAGCCCTGAGTTTCCTGGCCACTGTCTGTCGACTAACCCTGTGACCTAAAGCATTTGTCGCCGATGACGTCACTGCCAGGAAGCGATTTCGGAGGTGCAAGGTACACAAGTACCGGTCATCATGGGGCGTGGTCACCCTGGGTCTGCCTGTTCTTGGCCTGTCCGCGGTCCGCCCTGTCTGTCTGTAATGTTGCATCAAGTTGGTAACGGCAACACGGGAGCAACCGAAGGTTCGTGCAATATGGGCGTGGGTGGCTCCCATCTGTTCCATACCCAAGGCTCGTTCACGTTGTTCGACTGTGAGTCGTGGCATTTCTTTTGTGTTTTTTTATCACTGTGGATGTCTGACTTGCCGTTGCAATCGTTTTATACCTTTACCCGCGCGTGCATTTGCAGTTGTCCGTGGTGCACGTGTTTTTCACTTTTTCGCGTGTTATCTCGCAAACATGTAACAGACCATTAACATTTTCTGCAAACACTATTGTTGTATTTAGGTTATGTGTTTTAGATAGACTTCATCGGAAAAAAAAATTATACTCAATGGAGGACACCAAAAAGTGGGTTCTTGCGTGACAGGATTCGAACCCGGAACTTTAGCCTGTCGGTCCACATCTCTAACCATAAGTCTATCCAACCACAATGCCTAATATTAACATTTGCACATAACAACTAATAATTGTGGTAACATATCTTATTGATTGAGAAAAGAGTTTAACCCCAAAAAGTAACAATACTGGGTTACATTTAAAGGGAAATAACTCTAAATACCTTGTTATTCAGAAGGAATGGGCGCAAGGTGTGCATATGAGAGCAACACGTTTATTAATGTATTGTCATAATAGTGTCAGGAAATATCGATCGACAAATCGATGCTACAAATCGAATGACCTTCTGTGCAATTTAACGTTTCAAGGGACACAACTCTTGGAATCCTAAAGCGTGAAACATATTAATATCTTTCTTGAAACATATGGTCGCGTAGTTTGAGCATGGACAGGAAAACTTCACACTCGA